AAATAAATAAAATAGGTACCAAGGTTACTCATTACACCCAAAAATATATGGGACCCCCAAAGTTAGGGACCCCCATGACCCCCAAAATGATGTGGACCAATCATGTGCTTTTGTTGTTTTTTTATTTTTTATTTTTTACTTTTACTTTCCTTCCTGGACCAATTACAAGTGAGTGGGGGTTGTGGGGATTGTGCTTTTTGGGGGTCTGTAGCATTGTTGTCAAGGTTACTCATTACACCTGATGAATAAAAATAGTTCCTCAATACACAAATGAGGAGTTAGCAACGCGATTAAAATTTAGGCAACATAGGCACAAAAATAAGTGATGAAAGTAATCACAAGACAACCTTTCCACAAACTCTACCTCTTTCTTTCACTGAATCTTTTGCTTCTTCATTTTGCTGGTTGTAGTTGTGTTATTATCCTCGCCAGATAGACAACTTTTAATAAAAATTGATAAGAAAATATGAGTTTAGGTTTAAAAATCTAAAAGAGTGAGTGCAAATGATTATGGAGTGCACGAACAACATTATATTAACCCCAATGAGCATTTTGAAGCATTAAAAAAAAAAGTATTAAAATTTTAGACACTTCGAGCCCACATCCCTAAGCAAGTCACAATTAGGAGTGTAAAAATGGCTCGCGGCCCCGTGGGTGGCCTGATACCCGCCCGCGGCCTAGGGTGGGCCTGGCCTAATTAGGCTCGGGCCCGAGCCCAACTTGAGACCTTGGCTTGGGCCATCATTTTGAAGCCCAGCCTAGCCCACTTAGGGCGGCCTGTGGCTCGGCCCATTAGCTCGCTCAAGGCCCATGCAAAGCCCCGGCCTGAGGCCCAGTGTCATTTTTGGTTGAAAAAAATAAAATTTTAGTGAAAAAAATAGAAAGAAAAAAAAATGGTCAAGCCCTGCCCAACCCTATGCCCAGGCCCATTGGCCCGACCCGAGGCCCGAATATCCCTTGGGCCTAGGGTTGAGCCTAGGCCTAATTTTTTGGCCCGTGGGCTAGCCTGGTCCAAATTTTGACGGGAGCCCGCAAGACCCGACATAAGCCGAGCCGGCTCAAATTTACACCCCTAGTCACAATGATAGTAAACGAAAACTAATATTTAAAAAGTAGACGCTAAAAAAATGACTTTTCCAACTTCACAATAATAAGTTTTCCAAAAAAATTCATTTGCTTAGTTAACAGATGTGGATTGAGTAAGTTGTGTAAGTTGACCGTTAGATACAGATCGATTTGGTGATTGAACTTTACTATTTTTTTTGAATTATTTTACAGTAACTTTTTACTATTTCAAACTTTATTTGAGCTTAATTTTTTTATTCTTCGTTTTTTAAAGGTCAAACTTTCATATTTCATAAATAACTAATATTATTACTAAATAGAATTTTTTTTTTTAACATACCAAAAAAAAAATTAACATCATTTTTTTAAAAGGGGTTGCCGGGTCGGATTGAGATAGCACTGCGCAATAGAAGGCAAAAATAGATTTGGAAAGAAAGATTCAGCGAAGGGGATTAAAAATAAAGTCACGCATCAATATTACAGCTATTAAAAAGAATACATATATTACACATTCTATTAAAAGCATAATAAGATGAAATTCACTTTAAAAGAAGTTAGCATACACTCTACTGCTACTGCTAAGCAAAGCTTGACATTTGCAACCATACACAAAAAATATTAGAGCTGCATAAATAAGGAAATTCTATTTCCACACACTTAATTATTTCAATTCTCTCAGTACACACACTTATTAATTTGATTATTAATTAATTTTCTCAATCCACACACTAAAAGTTACAATTATATCATTCACTCATAATCATTGTACACACACCACTCAACCCTCCTTTCCGCACACTTTGTTGAGTGACCCTGTTTCTAGATTTGTAGACCCATTATAGACCCACGTGAAGACCATTTAAGACTACATTATGAAGTGAAATGAAGTGAAGTGAAGTGAAGAAAAAATACTCCATTAAAGATCCTATTGAACCTCTATTAAAATATCATTGAAAACCCTCCAAAATATTATTGAAGATGAGGCATTTTTCCATTTTGTTATTGCATTTACGATTTTATTATTACATTTACCATTTCTAGACCTCTGTGCACTCCATTGCGATAAAACCCTCTTCTTTTTTATTTATTTATTTATGTTTTTTGGTTTTGGGATTTCGGCACTAATTTTTTGAAATTATACATTTAATTTGAAACTTAACTTCCGAATAAAAGTGATTTGTTCAACAAATTTGTTCCCCAAAAAAATAAAAAATAAAAAATAAAACTTTCAGCAAATGATGTCTGAATATAATGAAATAATTTGACACTAGTTGTCCCACTGAAAATCCCGAAAGCAAAAAAAAAAAAGAAAAAAAAAGTTAATGCACGAAAAAAATTAATGTTTTCATCACTAACAAAGTATAAATCTAGAAATTAAATCAATAAGAAAATTGTTATGAGAGTATTGATTTGCACGCAATAGAAGAGTAACGTGTGTAGCAAGCAAATTGACAACAATGGAAAAACTAGAATTTAGTTTTTTTTTTTTTTTATTCAAAAAGTATATATTGAGATTTTTTTATTTTAAAAGATGTGTACAGAGAATATTTTCATATAATATTATAGGTGTTAGTGAATATCCATTATGGTCATTTTAATTTAGCATATAATTACCATAAAAATAATATTTCATTAAGCGTGTGTACTGAATTAATTAGGTCTGTGAAAATAGAATTTCCCTCATAAATAACATGGTAAGTTGAAACTTGCAAATAAAAATGGAATAAACAAACATCCTATAGTGCAGGCACAAATCAAAAAAGAAGAAGGAATAAAATAAAAAAAGATGAAGCACAGCACTGCTGGAAAATTCACTTTTAGCGGCGTTTAAAAAACGCCGCTAAAAGTATTAAAAGCGTCGTTAATTTTTTTTGTGGCGTTTAGTACCAAACGTCGAAGACGCAGCCGTCGCTATAACTTTATGGCGTTTAAAAAACGTCGTTATATTAGTATAGGCGGCGTTTTCAAAAACGCCGCGAAATGTCCTACCCTAACTGTACTGTGACGTCACTCTGACATTTAGCGACGTTTTTGAAAACGCCGTCATAGACATTTATTCATTTTAAAATCTAGCCGTTGGGATGGGATATAGTGACGTTTTTTAAACGCCACCATAGCCTTTTTTTTAATTTTTAGATTGTGTTAATTTTATATGGTTGAACAAAAAAAAAAACCTGGCAAACAATTATTAAGAACTAATAATTAATGTTTATTAAAATAATAAATAAACTAAGCTTGAAAACAAAATTAAAAATAAAAAACAATGCATTACATACCTAAGAATAGAAACAATTCAGACTTTAAATACATCAATTAAAATCAAAATGGTCTATATGCTTGTCTAATAACTTGTCCTGGTAAAGTCAAAACCATACTGTGAAGAAATTACAAGAATTGCTTCCTTTTGAGGCTTATGATTCAACCTCACATGGACATGAAAATAATATTTATGGCTACAACCTTATCCCTACATTTGAAATCTTAAACATATGTAAACCCTAGGAGAAGAATCGATGGAAGGAAGAGCTTGAGAGAGAGAGAGAGAGAGAATACGAAATTGAGATTGTATACAGTGGTGCTCACCTTAGTCAACGATGCAGATGGTGGTGGCGGTGGAGGTTCCAAATCGAGAGAGAGAGAAAAAACTTCGAAATCGAAATCACTCTGAGGTTGAATCGTAATATCTGAGAGTGAAGGGTTTAGAGAGAGAGCCAGCGATCGGGTGAGTGAGAGATTTGAGGGATTGATTTCTCTGAGACTGAAGGTTTCCCAGATTCAAAATGAGGGCTTGAAGAGAGAGAGAGAGAAGGGTTCTCTGATTCTCACAGAGCCAAGAGAGAGCTAGGAATAACATTATTGTAACACATGTGAAGGCGTTGAAAAAACGACTTCGATTCTCTAAACGGTACCGTTTTATTCAAAATAAAATGCGACGTTTATAAAACGTCGTTAAATGTTAAAAACAGTGACGTTTAAAAAAGCGCCGTTAAATAAACGCCGTTAAATCCTATATTTCCTGTAGTGCAGGAGCATCATCATTTCACAGAGAACTCAAAATTTGAAGCACAGAGCACCCAATTAAAATTGTAAATCAAAAAAAGATAGAAAAAACGCGAGCAACAGATCTTATTGAAACAGCACAACAATCAACATCAACACAAACAATATAAAAATAAAGAGATACAGAACTAAACAATCACTACAAGAAATTGCACTTTTGGTGATTAAATTTTTAGTCGCCGAAACATTTTCCCGACTAAATATTTTGATCGCCAATTTTGTCATAGGTAGATTGTCGGAGAAAGTGTTGGCGACTAATTTTTTAGTTGCCAAAAGTAAAGGTATTGGCAACAAAAATAATCTTTAGTCGTTGATGAGGCTAAATTGGCGACTAATCTGTCAGTCATCCAAATCTACTAATTTAATTTAAATCATATTTTCAACTACTAAAATTTGTCGCCAAAACTTGAAGTATCTAAGGCGACGAAAGTTTTAGTCGCGAATATTTTATTTTATTATATTTTGTTTTAGTGACCTAAAGTCCAATTTGTTGTTTAGCTACTAAATAGTTTAGTTGCCTAAAATTTAATTTTTTTTAGCTACTAAAGTTTTAGTTGCCTACAATATAAGTTTTATGTTTTGGCAACTAAATATTTAATCGCCAAAAGTGTTTTTCCTTTTTTTCGCTACTAAATAATTAGTCGCCTAAAGTGTTTTTAAATGGCTACTAAATATTTAGTTGCTAAAAATATTTAACTCCATTTTTGGCTACCAATTGTTTAGTCGCCAAAAACATCATTTTATGTATTTTTTTATATATATAATTAATTTGTCCACAACCTGTATGTATCCACTGCAACCTATATCAGGTATAAAAACAAAACAATATGTATATATTATCACCCATTCCATAATGCATATTTTACCTACAACCATTAAACAAATAAGAATAACTTAGAATGTCAACTTCTATACAAACTAAGTATACATTCCAATTGGAAATAATTTCATACAAAACAAATAAGCATACCAAAACAATGTCCTCCGTCCACAAAAATATATTCACTACTATGCGAAATGACCATTTGGCATGGTATAAATTACCATGGTAATCTGTACCACAACAAAAGGTAATCTATATACCACGATAACAAATACAAGTTCCATGTCAAAAGTATTATGTACCCTGCCAAAAGTTATATGTGCGATTCATCCAAATTCCATACAAAAAGCAGAGGACGACAAAAAAGTGGAACTTTTCAGAAGTGTTTATCCTCCGTACACAAAAATGGCAGATCCACATGTCGATGCCAAAAGCCATCTACAAAACAAAAATTACACACGTTAGTTCCATATGGCGTTCAAGCATAAGACCACTCAAAAAAAAGTTATTAGATCTATAAAGGGATTTTTTTCGTTTTTTTATTTTTATTTTTATTTTTTGGTTGAGGTGTAGTTTCATCCCTCAATCATAATATTTTGAAAATGAAATTAACATTATTGAAATGTTAGGAACCTAAATAATGCAAAGTGAACAGGAGTAAAAGTCCATTGGCATCTAAAAAATGACAATCAATGTAAGGTTGTGCAACATATATATTCAACAATAATGAGGAAATCACTTCTTTGTGATTTCATTCCATAGTTATTTTTAATCACTCAACTACCCAAAATCACTACTTTACTTACCCAACTTATCATAATTTTTCTTAGCATATAGCTTTCAGCTTTTGAGAGCTTGTTTGTTCTTGGTGATCCAATTGTCCTTTAAATTCAAATGGGAGATCCAGTTGTCCTTTAGTTTCAAACATTTGGATCCAACAGTATAACGGATTTCCTGAATTTTTAGCATAGCCTCTAAGTATGTAGTTTATTGTGCTATTATTATCATTAGAAGCATATATCTTGAAGAGAAAGACCAAGTCCACAGATTAATCTTGTAGTCTGTGTTAAGCATCAAAAATCTTTCATTGTCCTTGATTACATTGCCAATTCCAATAACAAGGATTATTCGATTGTTCTACAATTTCAACATTTCACTGTATTTTTTTTCCCTCCATGTTATGCCCTTGGAACTTATGGTTTTGCCAAGGAATTCAATTATGAATCGTTTTTTCAAAAATTCTTCTTTTTTCCCGTATCCCTCTTTTCCTTCACTTTCTGCAGAAAAGGTCAAAAAAAAAAAAAACTTCCTTCTTAATAATATGTTGAGTATATCATTGCTGATATAACAGTGACCAACCCGGGCAGCATGATTTCAAGATAATGAAAAGGCTTGTACTTCCTAATGGATCAGTGCTGAGAGCTAAATACCATGGGAGGCCGTCACAAGATTGTTTATTCAACGATCCAGTTATGGATGGAAAGAGGTATTTCCTAACCAGCTATACTATATATACTTGTGTTTTCCTAATCTATCTGGGCATGTATCTCCTGCTGATATCGAGTAATTTGAAGAGGTTTGCAGGAAATCATGGATAGGAGATTGTGCAGTATTCTCTTTCATCACGGGTATAACTATTTTTTATTTTTTATTTTTGAAGTGCAACAATGCAGTTGTAGAAATGTTTTAATGTTTGATTTATGGGTTTTTAAGATTGGACTAAATATGTGTAATTCTATTAGATTGATCTTCTTCGACATTGTTTTTATGTTTTTGGTCTAATTGCAGGGTCTGTGTCTCGATTATCAGAGCAACAATCATTTGCAGCAACACTAAAAATCTAGCAGTGTGATGTATTTACTGTATCTCCTATCAAGGTTAGGTTGGCTAGTCATGTCTGCAGTTGTACCTCACTTTCCTGACCTGATAAAACTCATAATATGTAAAGTTCCTCAAGCGAAAAATGAATTTTCCTTGTGATTTTTACAGTTTACAATCAAAAGATTCATTTTGCGCCTCTAGTAATGCCATTCAATTGGATGAGGCTCCTAATTTAGTGACTTCCCTCATATTCATAAGCTAATCCTACTCAATTCTGGGAAAGTGAATATTTCATTAAAATCATGTGGTTATCTTATGGAAATCAGAATAAAGTCCTTTAGAGTATCGAAACACTAGGTCCTCTGTTGCTAAGTCTACTCACATTACACCTCAAAACCTATTCGAAGCATAGGAAGAAAAAGAAAAAAAAAAAACCCATAATCAACGTTCTAATAGGTTTGAATAGGAACTTTAGAAAACAATTCTAGGTTCATCGTACACCATAATGTCAATACGATCCATTTTTTGTAGAACTTTTAGTAGCATAGCAATAAAATTCTTCTTACCGAATAGTAGGATGACCATCTAAACCCTGCAAGAGGGTTGTGAGTCGTGACACCACGTCGTTCAGATGATTGAGTTGTACTTGTTGTGCCTCCCGTGCTTTTTTTCTTCTTCGACTTGTTTCATCATCTCCTTTCTTTCCCTCATAAGTTCTTCGCGATCTCTTTGGCGCTCCTCTTTCTCCCTCAGTAGCTCTTCGTGATCTCTTTGGCGCACCTTTTTCTCCCTCAGCAGCTCCTCGTGATCTCTTTGATGCTTCTCAGTTCAGCCCTCATTGACTCCATATGTTTATCACGAGATTGTGTCGCACTATCAGGTGTCGAAGAGGGTTGTGGGCCTATCCCAAATCCACGCAAGTAATTTTTTTTTTTGCCCAAGCACTTGCCTTGATAGTTCTTCTTGGGTCAATGGCGTCCTCGCATCAATGGCTACCACTTGTAGATTCAGCATCTCATCTTGTCATGGAAAAAAAACAACTAAGTATTTACCAGAAGCACAAACAATGACGAAAGAATTTACAACTTTACTAATTGATATTCAACACATTTGGGGTCAATCCAATTTCCTGTCTTCTTAGACTTGTGTGATTTCTTATAAAATTCAAGAAAATCTAGATCTCCATCCTCATCTACCTGCTAGGTTTGAAATAACAAAATGAAGAACTGGATAAAGTAGTATTGAAAATAAAGAACAAGCAGTGATTCGTACACTACTAAATTAACAACTTCTCACCATTAGCAACATTGCTATTGAAAATGATCGAGATCCACTTGTATGATTGTATGGTAGCATATGCCTATTTGCTTTACCAACTTTTGAGCATTTCTGGAAAAAAAAATATATATATTTAGTGAAGAATTTTTACATATTAACGCATAATTTAATTTCAAGAATGGGGTTTAAAATTATTTTGTTACCAAGTGAGATTCATTTTTCCCAATCCTCCAAGCTCACTCCAGTAGGCGGATGACTATAGGGGTCATCAACACCCTATTCCTCAAGTTCGAGGAACTCTTGCTTTAGGTTATATCTCCAATCCTTGTACAACAAATATGCCTTTCTATCAATGATCCGTTGGGCTTGTTCATCATTATGAAAATCCTCACCAATAACAAACTTGTCCTACAAACACAATAAGAGAAGTATTACATTAATTAATTTAAGCAATTACAAATAACATAATAAAGAAATTATCGCAAGATGAATCTCATACTAGCACAGCTTGGACAACATCTTTGGTACTTTGATCGATTTTTTTCTACAACTTCACGCTCTGAAGAGGGCACAACCGCCTAATCTGCAGTCCCAACTCCTTCGTTGTTGGGGTGGCATTCCCTCCAGTGATTGCATTGAACACTCGGTTGACACAAACATGCAATTTCTCTCCTTTTTTCCTAGCTATTTCTTTCTGCACTCCTTTGCCTAATGTAGGTCCTCATACACGAGTTGACCTTGTTCGCCCTGGTACAAAAGGGGAAGCAAGTCACAAATTACAAACATTGCTAACAACTAAGCCATAAATTATTGCTGACTGTGGCTGCTGTTGCTGCTGTTTGGCTGCCTAAAGTATTGGTAAATTCTGCTACAGCTTGAATGTTGCTACTATCGATGCAGCTGGTGCAGCTGTCTGTTGGCTGCTGCTGCTGTTGTAGCTGGTGCAGCTTGTTCGTTTTTGTTTTTCTTTGCTGTGTAAATTTCCTTGTTTTGTGGCCCCTCTGTCTTTATGGGGTTTTGATCTGGTCATGTTCTAGAGTTTAGGCCTTACTAATTTTTTTGCAGCGTTTTAGTCTTTGTTCTGCTGTTGTTAGGGCCAGAGGTATATCCCTTGTATATGTTGTATATTTCATTGTCTTAATTTATGACTTATGCACCCAAAAATAAATAAATAAATAAATAAAGCCATAAACAATTACGTACAATGATCTTACCCACACCAACTGTCTGTGTATCATCCGGCAGTTGCGCCCCATCAGAGAAAGTCAGCGGGGTGCCAATCTCATGTGGACATGCTTCTGAGGCTGATACTACGTTGCCACTTGATGCTCTCTTACGCCGACCCGTCTTGATCTCAGGAACCATGCTAGCTGCAATAAGTAACATACATGAATTATAAACCTCACATACATCATCAATGTTGAAAGCAATATGGATTATTTACAAAAGTTAATCATTCACGAGATTAACATATAACACAATACGACCAAAATTATTCTGTTCACTTGTCAAAGAAAGGGCATGTACATAAAACCAATATTAGGCATAAAATTCAAATTAACAGGTTCATCAATTTAAGAGGTTGAACATTGCACAAAATTAAGGAATTTCAGATAACATCTGACTATGTAATAGAAGAACAAAAGCCGTATTCTTAATTTCCCCCATTACATCAACAAAACAAGAAGGACAAATAAACAAAGTTCTGACCTATCTACTTAGAGAACACATATCGGAATTTTGAACTCATATGTCAAAACTCTATATCCGTATCTGTATCAAAATCACTTTCTAGCTCATTATCTTCTTCTTCATCACCCGTGATTGTTAGTTCATCTTCCTCATCACAGATGAAAGCATCATCCATAACACCCTCAGGTTGTACACGCTTATTGGACTGAGAAACTTCCATTGAAATAATTTTAGGTTCAATATCATCGCAACGCAAAACAACATCATCATCAATAGGCTCAGTTGGTACAACAGTAGTGGTTTCATCTTGTTGCAGCACATCATCAACTTCTGGCACATCCCTAATTAGTCGATGTTGAAACTTTTCTACAACTCGCCAAGTCAGACCTAACTTCGTATCATGAACATAGAAAACTTGTTGAACTTGGCGTGGTAACACAAACGAGTCATCTTTATACCATCGACTTCTTACATTAACAGTTGTCACATGTGGTTCGACACGCAAAGTTCGGTTACTACCAATGTTATACCATTCACATTGGAACAAAACAACCCGATGTCCAAACAAATATGTCATTTCCCACACTTTACAAAGGTTGCCGTAGAACTTTATCAATTGGCCTTGGTAGTCCCCTTCCACTACCAATCCACTATTATGACATTTACAACAGTTGTCACGGTCAATAATATGGAATCGGACGCCATTAGAAATGCATCCCGAATATGTGTTCATTATGGCATTAGGACCATTGGCTAATGACCACATCTCATCCGTTGCTTCGGGTGACTTTTGGTTTCGCAATTGGTTCATCTACACAACAAAGAATGTCATGTTGATTCCAACTTAGAATAATTTAACGTTATTGGTAAACTATACTATAAGAAATTTTAGCTTACGCGATCTTTGAACCATTTAGGAAATTCTTTACATTGTCGCGTTGCAATGTCGCATGCACTCCATGTTGTTGCAACAAGACTTTGTATTCCCTAGTTAATACAATGTAATTCATAAGTAATTGGAATAATGAAGACTTAAAAAAAAAATTGTAGCGCACATATGGTGTATATTTTGTTCGAGTCATACTCTAGATATTTGTCCACTTCAAAGCTATTGTGTAGGACAAACCAATGAGTCAATTCACGGTTAGCTATGGACACATCAATTGCTCTTGGGAGTAGACCAAACGGACGAACATTTTGAGTGAAAATCCCCAACCCTAGGCCATTGTCAACCCCATCGTAGTTCATTTATTGAGTTTGCAACGAAGAATTTAGGGCCACATGATGAAATTCGTTGCCCATCTGTCGATTGCTTGAACAGCACAAAATTTAGTCGACAAGTTGTACGGTTGCACTTGATTCGAAGAGGAATCACGTGTTCTTATCGAACTTGGGTGCACCATGTTCCCATGTGTCGTGATCATCCTACTGTGCAAAACGATGATACTGAAAGCAATGGAGCTAGATTGACAGCCAATCACGATAATTTGGGTGAATTACCTATTATGTTAGAAGAGATTTACATGAGTGGTCTTATGGATGATCATATCGACGAAGAACGTAATAGTTCGGAGAGGTACAATTTATTGTAGTTCATTAAGTTGTTCGATGATACTCAACGTAAAGTATATCCGGAGTGTGAGAAGTTCTTCATCTTGTCCTTTGTTATTAAGATGCTTCACATCAAGGTGTACAATAAATGGAGCAACAAATCTTTCGATATGGTTATGCAAGTTTTTAAAGACATCCTACCAAAGTGTGATGAAACTGTTCCATAGACCCTTTATGAAGCGAAAAAGTTCTTATGTGAATTGGGTTGGGGATACGAGGCCATTCATGCATGCAAGAATGATTGTACTTTATTTTGGAAGGACAACACAAAACTGGAGAATTGCTCTACATGTAAAGAGTCTAGATACAAGTTGAACGACAAGAAGGGTAAAAAAATTCCTCACAAAATATTGAGGTTTTTTCCTTCGACACCGAGTTTGAAGAAATTGTACATGTCGAAAAAAATAGCCGCAGATATAAGATGGCACAAAGATAAGCATGTAGATGATGGAGTATTACGGCATCCAGCTGATGCTGAGGCATGGAAGGACTTTGATAGGCAGCATCCTACATCAAGGTGTACAATAAATGGAGCAACAAATCTTTCGATATGGTTATGCAAGTTTTTAAAGACATTCTACCAAAGTGTGATGAAACTGTTCCATAGACCCTTTATGAAGCGAAAAAGTTCTTACGTGAATTGGGTTGGGGATACGAGGCCATTCATGCATGCAAGAATGATTGTACTTTATTTTGGAAGGACAACACAAAACTGGAGAATTGCTCTACATGTAAAGAGTCTAGATACAAGTTGAACGACAAGAAGGGTAAAAAAATTCCTCACAAAATATTGAGGTTTTTTCCTTCGACACCGAGTTTGAAGAAATTGTACATGTCGAAAAAAATAGCCGCAGATATAAGATGACACAAAGATAAGCATGTAGATGATGGAGTATTACGGCATCCAGCTGATGCTGAGGCATGGAAGGACTTTGATAGGCAGCATCCTACATTTTCTGCGGATCCTCGGAATGTAAGGCTAGGGCTTGCCATGGATGGTTTCAATCCATTTGGAAATATGAGTACATCGTACAGCATGGGGCCCGTAATCTTAATGCCTTACAATCTTCCCCCATGGAAGTGTATGAAAGATCCATTTGTCATTGCTTATTCCCGGACGATCGGCACCTGGAAGAGACATCGATGTTTACTTGTCACCATTAGTAAGGGAGTTAAATAATTTGTGAGAGCATGGTGTGCAAACATATGATGCCTCAAACGGCCAGATATTTACAATGAATGCAGTAGTCATGTGGACCATCAATGACTTCCCTGCATATGGTAACATGTCTAGTTAGAGTACAAAAGGTTACTTGGCCTGCCCTAATTGTAACATGGGTGCATCATCTCAGAGTCTGCGAAGTAAGATAGGGTATATGGGTGCTCGTTGCTACTTACTTGAGAACCATAATTGGCGAAGAAGTAAGCTCTTCAACAGTGATATTGAGAATCGGTCCAAACCTGTGGAGTTATCGGGAGAACAAATACTAGAGCAAATTAATTTGGGGACGTATAGGCCGTATGGAAAGCATCCAAACAATGGAAAAGGACAAAGGAATGAAAATTCAACTTCGAACTGGACAAAAAGAAGCATTTTGTTTGACCTACCCTATTGGAAAACACTGAGGCTTCGACACAACCTTGATGTCATGCACATAGAGAAGAATATATGTGACAATCTGGTTGGGACACTATTGAGCATAGATAGCAAGAACAAGGACACGGAAAAAACACGTTTGGATCTGGAGGACATGCGAATACGAAAGGAGTTACACTTGATAAGGCATGCCAATGGCTCTTTCGAGAAGCCTCCGGCATTGTACACAGTGTACCCGACAGAGACAAGGTTTTTCTGATTCCTTCAAGAGATTATTTCATTTTTACCCCTATACTTTGTCATGATTTTCAATGACCCCCCTAGACTACTATTATTTTCACGCGTACCATTATACTATTTAAGTTACTATCAATTTTGCCCCTGCCGTCAGATTTGAAACGGAAAAAGTTGAAATTATATTTTGGCCCCAAATTTCAAAAGAAATATGCAAACTCACCCTTTCCTACCCACAAACTACCACCAGTAACCACCACTTCAAGCCCTTCTATCTCCTGCGTCATAACTCCATTTCGCCTCAGTTTTACGTCATTGGATTCAACTCACAGTCTAGTTTTCGTATCACATCTCACACGTCTCATTCTTCCTCTTTTTGCAAGCTATCGGAGCTCCGAAAGTTGATAAAAAAAAAAAAGACTTTTCTTCTCGTTTTCAACTTTTCTTCGAGCCATCTTTCGAACTTCATATCTTTCTCGATTCTTGACGGTTCTACTTCATTCTTTCACCATTCTCTTCACCTCACTTCCTACTTCGCTGTTCAATACCTCGCTTTCTCACTTCTTCGTGTAATGGGCGATTTTGGTATGCCGAAAGTTGTCCGAAAACTAATTTTGAAAATTTCAAAACATTCATCTTTTGTTTCTTTCTGCTCCATCTTCCTTATTTTTCTTCTTCTTTTTCACTTATAACATGACGTGGAACATGGTTCTAGGTGGTAACAGAACAAGTGATGGTGATGGTGATGGGTTTGGTATTGTAAGGTGGTGGTGATGGTAATGCTCATGGTGGTGGTAATCGAGTTTGGTGGCAGTGAAGTTAGTGGTTCAAGTGGTGATCGTGAAGTTGATGGTTGAGATTGCATATGCCCCGAAGAATGACACTTTCAACGTCATTCGAGCACTGTGTGTCGTAGGAAAAGAGGAGGCAGGCATTGTTGGTATTAGTTCTCATGCGTCAAGGAAGTTCAGTCCCCACAAAGATTTCTTTCAACATTTTTGTTAGCGAGTTCAATCGACAAGGCAAGCGGTTTTCAGTTCAATCTTATTTTTTTAATCAACTTTCGGAGCTCCGATAGCATGCAAAAAGAGGAAGAATGAGACGTGTGAGATGTGATACGAAAACTAAACTGTGAGTTGAATCCAATGACGTAAAAATGAGGCAGGCGTTATGATGAAGGAGATAGAAGAGCTTGAAGTGGTGGTTTGTGATGGTTTCCTGGTAGAAAAGGGTGGG